CCTAGGGAGACACAACAGCCAGGGTCATATGAGGACGGCTGCCTATGGAGACGCAACAGCCAGGGTCACATGAGGACGGCTGCCTAGGGAGACACAACAGCCAGGGTCATATGAGGACGGTGCCTAAGGGAGACACAACAGCCAGGGCCATGTGAGGACGGGTGTCTAAGGGAGACACAACAGCCAGGGTCATAGGAGGACGGCTGCCTAGGGAGACACAACAGCCAGGGTCACATGAGGACGGCTGCCTAGGGAGACACAACAGCCAGGGTCATATGAGGACGGTTGCCTAGGGAGACAACAGCCAGGGTCAAATGATGATGGGTGCCTAAGGGAGACACAACAGCCAGGGTCATATGAGGACGGCTGCCTAGGGAGACACAACAGTCATGGTCATATGAGGATGGGTGCCTAGGGAGACAACAGCCAGGGTCAAATGAGGATGGGTGCCTAAGGGAGACACAACAGCCAGGGTCATATGTGGACGGCTGCCTAGGGAGACACAACAGTCATGGTCATATGAGGACGGTGCCTAAGGGAGACACTGCCTGAAACAGAAAGTCGACAGAAAAGATAGAAGACAGGACAAATAGGAAACGAAAAAGATCCCAAGTGTTGCAATTATGGCAGCAGATCATGCATTGGAATATAGCTGGACTCTTTTTTTTCACGGGTTCCCAATTTCAATTTTCAATTTCTTTATTTCCAAATGCAACAGATAGCATATAGGAGTTACAATATGCATGTACATACACATAAATATTACAATCCATTTATGTAAGATGGCGGAGAACATAGTGTAATACAAGATAACATCATAGCAATGTTGACAACATACGAAAGAATATATATAATCATTGTCAGTGGCACAAAGCTGGAACATACACGATTGATCAGATATTAAGTATAGACTTTCTTTTAGAAGTAGCCTGAATTAGATACTGACTAAGGTTTCTCAATTGTTTTACAATTTTGAAGGCGAATAATTGTATTAATTTATTGATAATTTATTTTACGGACGACGGAAATAATAGGGTTTAATATATTTGGTTCTGCTCCGAGTAAACTGGACACAGCAAAATAAAATGGGTTTCATCCTCGACGTCATTTATATTGCAAAGTGTTCCTCCCACCATGGTGTAGGTGGGCTTAATTTGATGTGAAGGTAATCTTTCACAAGAGGGGTCTTTGAGCTGCCATTCCTCCGGCGTGTCCAGGGCAGAGCCATGGGAAGGGGTTCAACGGGCAATCTTCCCTCCACCCCACAGACAATGATTTGAAGGGATTTTGATTGGCATCCGAATGACGTAGATGACAACTTACAACTTCGAATTCAATCGGGAACTGTCAGTAATTTTGGTAAACGAGGACATGAAAAGTATTTCCGAATTCTCGTTTACGGAAAGTGTTAACTATTCCCCATAAGATTTTGATGTAGGCTCGTTAAAAAGAAAATGAACGGCTCAGGAACGGATTATAAATGATGACATGAGAAATGAAAAATAATTATTTAGCGACACACATCTATAACGAAATTTGTTTTAAGACAAGACTTATCAATCAGGAAAAATAGAAAAACAATATTATTGACACATTCGTGCTCCCTTTAGTGGCATGTAGATCGATTTCCCCGAAACCTGCAGGGGTTTTAGTTATGACACTGGATCTATGCGTACTTTAAAGTATAAACTTTATTTATTTTACAAAAAATATTAAACAGGTTTTCCCAGTTTTTAAAACTTAAACTAATCACTCTTGTTGGCCAAGATACTAGCGCGTGGAGGGGGGTCTCACTTTGAGAGGAAAACGAAGTACCTGGAGAAAACGTGGTCGGGCTGGTGACCCCATGCCTTTTCACGTCCGATCGGGGAATCAAACCCCGGCCGCCTTGGTGAAAGGCAGGTGCGCTATCCAATGTAACACCCGACTACCCTTCAATTTACTTAATTTGAATAGTTAGTGTATAGTTAACTCATATAAAGATAAGACCAGTGTCATGAATACGGGCCCTCTGGTTATACAAAGTCGACATACATGCAACAAAAGTAAGCAGGCATTTTTTTGTACGAAATGTCATTATATGTACAGAGTGTTCCATACTTTAAGCAGTGAATGTTTATTCATGCCCTGTTTGTAAGCAAAGTAATGTAAACTTAAAAAGACAAGAAACCTATATTTACATGTATATTGAAAAAATATATAAAATGAAAATGGTTTTAACAGTGAAAGTGTGCAAACCTCGTGTCAAAGGGAGATAATGCGACTTTCCTTTGTTGTTGTTGTTGTTGTTGTATTGTTGTTGTTGTTGTTGTTGTTGTAGTAGTATTGTTGTTGTTGTTGTTGTAGTATTGTTGTTGTTGTTGTATTGTTGTTGTTGTTGTTGTTGTTGTATTGTTGTTGTTGTAGTATTGTTGTTGTTGTTGTTGTTGTATTGTTGTTGTTGTATTATTGTTGTTGTTGTTGTTGTTGTTGTTATATTGTTGTTGTTGTTGTTATATTGTTGTAGTATTGTTGTTGTTGTTGTTGTATTATTATTATTGTTGTTGTTGTTGTTGTTGTAGTATTGTTGTTGTTGTTGTTGTTGTTGTTGTAGTATTGTTGTTGTTATATTGTTGTTGTTGTTGTAGTATTGTTGTATTGTTGTTGTTGTAGTTGTCTTACCATTTAAGAAATCGTATGTGTCTTAAAGGAAATGTGTTATAAACAATAAATATAGATTGAGTATTCGACGGAAATCGATTTTACCAAAAAATCGACTATCACAGTAAGATTGTGTATCATATTTATAGACCATGCACGTATACTTTATAAACACACAGACGGTGAAGGTGGCGGGGCTGTGTCCAGGCTGGAGAAACAGGAGTTAAATTCTTCGGAATATTTAGAACATATATTATTATATGTACTTCTTCTTCATGTATATAACGACATGTTGGATGGGGTAATATTAATCATATGTCAGGGAAATAAAACATAATGTCGTCCTCATTTCCCTTATTCGGCGCTTGTCTAAAAAAAATGCGCAAGAGCCACAACATGTACCACGTGACACTGAATTAGACGACGATGACGCGAACGTCTGATCATCTTTACTGTACCTGTATGTTGTTTTATTGTATTGACACGATTCTATATTTACAATCGATTAACAATGTTTGATAATGACCACGAACAAGTTGTATGGTCACCATCTGGATCTCGCTGAGAAATATGCTATTTCTCTGTGTGATATGAAGGTAGATACATTTTACAACAATTATGAAACATTTCTTTTCGCGTTATGTATACATTGCTATCTTTAAGGTATTATTAAGCAAAATTGTGGGAAACATGAATATTTAATATGTTGGCGGTAGGCAGGATGGCCAATCAAACGAATGGCATTGTATCGAGGTTTGCATTGTTATTATCATGTAAGTATCAAATCTCGTTAAAACCTGTATAATTTTAATTGAAAAGATGTCAGAATTAATTAAAATAGATATAAATCGGGGCTATACATTTTGGCGAAGTCGTCTCACTGCTGTTCTTCTAAGCTTATTTTTCTGGGTCTATTATATAGTTGCGCGTTTACTTGTATTAGATACAAACACACAAAAAAAGTGTGTAAAAATACACCATGACCAATTATCCTTTATCAATGATTCTCTAAAGTAATTAAGTATTTCATAAATAACGCCTCAGTGTGGAATTTCATTTTTGACACATAAAAAGGCTAAAGAAATGTTCTCGATGAATTTTTAACAGCATAGGTATGGAAGAGAAAAACATAGACGCAACAAAAATATCGGATTTAACTTATTTTAATATCAAACAGATTCAAGCAAAATACAACCTAGTTATTCTGACTTCCTTACCAATTCTCCTACCGGACGCTAACATTCAGCAAATGACTTCATAATAATTTGAAAAGTGCAAGTCTGTTCAAAAACTTGTCATAATTATCTTTCGATTCATGCCATTTTGTCCGGACTAACAAGGTCCCGCTATACACAAAAAACTTACCCGGACTAACAATGTTCGACTGTAAAAATAAACACAAACATGTCCGAACTAACAAGGTTCCACTGTACACATATACAAAACACTTGTCCGGACTAACAAGGTTCCACTGTACACATTGACTAAAACTTTTCCGGATTTACAATATTCCACTGTACACATATGCACAAACTTGTCCGGACTGAAAAGGTTCCACTGTGCAAATTTACAAGAAAACTTATCCGGACTATCAATGTTCCACTGTACACATATACACAAATTTGTTCGGAATAACAATGTTCCACTGTACACATAAACATAAACTTGTCCGGACTAACAAAGTTCCACTGTACACATAAACATAAACTTGTCCGGACTAACAAGGTTCCACTGTACACATATACACGAACTTGTCCGGACTAACAAGGTTCCACTGTACACATATACATAAAACTTGCCCGGACTAACAAGGTTCCACTGTACACATATACACGAACTTGTCCGGATTAACAAGGTTCCACTGTACACATATACATAAAACTTGCCCGGACTAAGAAGGTTCCACTGCACACATCAACACAAACTTGTCCGGACTAACACGATTCCACTGTATGCATCAACAAAAAACTTGCCCAGTCTTGTAAGGTTCCACTGTACATATAGATACATTTTTTCCCGGACTAACAAGGTTCTACTATACACATTCACACAAACTTGTACGGACTAATAAGGTTCCACAGTACTCACAAACACATTTTGTCCGGATTAACAAGGTTCTACTATACACATATACACAATTTATCTGGACTTGAAAAGTTCCATTTTACACATAAATATCGAACCACGGAATTAAATTTATTGCTTTCTAAGTCCGTGCTAGAACACATCTATATATGTACCTTAAACTAAGGCGTTATATTTACCATGCTTGGTATTGTACAGCGTACATTATTAAAAAATAACCTCTTTAGAGGTGAAAGCAAATTATACAATTAATGTACATTGGCAAGAAAGTATAAGTGTACCTTATACAGTATCATCAAAAATATTTAATTGTATCGCGATATGAAATGGTTCCTTTAAATGTATACTGAAATTATGAATTGTTAATTCAATGTTTATATTATTTGTCTCGGGGTAGGCTGACAAGGCTCAAAAGCGCCACCACACGGATAGTAATACTTGTCAGTCTTCACCTTCAGACAAATAAAACAGAATTGTGCCTTACAAGTGTTCTTTGGACACGTCATATGTTTACAAAGGTCCTCCTCCTCGTATTCAATGACACATTGACACACTGGGCATGCGCGAACGGAAGGACAGTTCGGAACACCAATTATAGTTCTCATTCGACAATCCTTTAACAAAGCTTTTACTTTCGGGAGACTTTCCTGACACTCATTGTTAAAACAAGAGTTACCATTAGCAGCGCGATTACACTTGACACAGAAGGAATGCGATTTTCCACCTTGTTCACAGTAGAAGCATTTAAACACACTGACACAACTACTGTGTATAGCCTCGTTACAAGTAGGGCATATATATACATCTGCTTCCTTTTCCAACCAGTTCGAAAAAAGTTTGTCACAGAACAGATAGTTTTCGTCGTCCGACAGACAAGCCAGCATACTAATAGATTTAAATTCCCAAACGTTTGAACATTGTTCTCTGGGTTTTGTAGCATCCGGTATAGCTGGGCACGTCACTTCCGTAGCGCCATTTTTTATCTTTTGCCATACGTAGTTATAAAGATTGTCTGGAGCTGAAATAAGAAATAAATAAATGTAATATAAGTTCATTAATGCTGTGCTACATGTAACTGTAATATATGTTTAAAATATCCATATTTTGTACATTACATTTTTTTGTCATCTTTTTGCTGCATAATTATTTATGCAATATTGTTTTATGCATATAAGGTTTGAACAGTTCTTAAATGATTATATTGTGATATAAATTTTAGCGGTTTGTACAATTCATAATTTGCATATTGTTAGCGTAAATATTTTAGCGGTATTCTTATGTCAACGTTTTTTTGTGTGTTTTAAATATTGCCCATCAAAATGTGCTTATGATTGCAATATTTTAAGTTTCTGCTTCTAGATTCCTACTACAAATTTTGTGAATGCGAAAAGTCGTCAATGCACTCATTCAAACATTTTTCATTGAAGAAAAACAATCAAATGTATTGGACGCCAGTTCTGACAACTTACTAAACTTAATGCGCTAATATGCTAAAATTCGACAATACGCTAAAATGTTAGTCCGCTAAAATAAGTTAGTTTGCAGTAGTAAGAAATTATCATTACTTCGGACTCTAAACCTAATTATGAAGTAAAGGTATCTATGACAACGTTTATTGTTTTTATCGGCATTTTAGATACAACCCTGCTAAAGCATGCATTTTTAGCTCAAACCAACTTTCTTGTAATTAGTTTAAATCATGAAAAACATTAAAAAAGGAAATGTAAACATTGAAAACAGTATTCGGTTTTATATGTCTTCAAATTTTTGTTTCAAAACATTGACAAAAAACATTTCATTATTATTTTTTGCTTGAGCATGAGAACGGTTTCATGAATACGGGCTCAGGTTTTTGTCCGATACACTTTTCAACCAAAAAGCAGTTTTTCATCTCCTTTTTTTTTACTTTTACTTTTTCATAAGTCATTGTTTCGCAAGTTAAGGCATTTTTTTCGAGTAATGATTCATTAATATAATTAGTAATGTCGTTAAAATACATGTTTTTTTCAGTGGCAAAGGGATCCTTAAAACTAAACTTACATATAGCATGACCACAGCACATGCCCACACACGTGTCTTCGCAATAGGGGTCAGTATCATCAACTCGTGACGTCTGGTGCAACGGATGTGGGTCTCTGGAGGTCGGTCTTCTGACCACGTGAAGAGATTTCAGTCCGGGGTAATCTGAAAGGGATTTCGTCTTGTCTAACATGATGCAACGATTTTTGATCCAGAGGTCAAGGACACCGTATCCGTGTCTTCCTATTGTGTTTTGCACATGCGCAATGCAATCCGAAACCGTCCACACCTGTAATAATTGAAATGACTTTAATTATTTATTTCATTTATTTTACAATAATTATTAAAGAAGTATTTTTGGAGGAAACCTCCGAGAATCCGGAGTAAACCCACATAGTCAGGGTCCACGTCCGATTGAGGAATTGAACCCCGGCAGTCTTAGTGAAAGGCGAGTATGCTATCCACTCCGCCATCCGAAACGTCATATGTTTAACTGGTAGTAATACCGTAGAGCAAATAGCTTTAAGCATTTGGTGTTTCAAAAAACATAGAAACGTTCCACACGAAAGAGTTGCTATCAAAATGAAAAAAAGCTTTCATGAACTTAAATACGGATACTCTAACATACTCCCCCGACAAGGAAAATATTTCTTCACTTGAGGTGACAATTGGCTTAACACCATCTGCCATACGCAATACGCGTTTATCTAATGAATGATAGGAACTCTGATCATTAATAAGAATATCACGGATTTACGTAACTCACCTTTGGAACGGAAGTGAAGAAATTCTCCTCGCCAAACTTCCATACCCCAACATTGTTTGTGGGTACCTCCATTTTCGTCTCCTGGCTTCGATTTATCTTCTAAAAAAATAAAAGAACCATATCGTTGGCTATGTAAATATATACATTTAGATTTTCATATAAGTATGCTCAAATCAGTTCTTTTATGTCAATGCTATCATTATCATTAAAATCGCAATAGTCTACACAGTAAAGCATAAGTTTAACTTCGTGCAATATGTCTTCTTTTCATACATGCCATACAAAAATATTGATCAAAATATCGATCATTTAATCACGATTAACCAATCAATCAATTATGATCTGCAAATACACCAACATACCCTGTGTCTAGCACACATACACAAAGGCACGCATACATAACATACATGGAGTCACGTCCTTATATGTCCTTACCTTTAATAGGACGTTAATGGGTTGCATTTAATATGCAATATTTCAGCCTCATGAACAAAATTTGTCAACAGATTGCTGCTTACCTTTCGTGAAAAAGAAGCTTGAGCTGGCGCTTCTCTCCTGTATATATCAACGGAATTTCCACTGTTAATCAGGACATCTGAATCCAAAGAAAAGGGAGATGCAGCTTTCTGAACTGTACCTTTCTTTTTAATGGTGAGTTTTGTACTTAACTTAGGCCTAGCGCTGAAAGCTAGAGGAACGAATACCGGGGAATATTGGGTCACTTTGGGGGTAAACCTTTCTGGGGCTCTGCTCGTCTTGTTTTCTCGCATGGATAACGTCCTCTGCAAACCTCTTGGTTGTGGTGTCACGTTACCGGCATTTCTAGACGACGGGGGCATTCCTTGGTAAGGCTGCGAGTAAACGTTAGCTGGTTGGCTCTTTGTAGGAGCTTTGGTATTTCTAGACGTCGTGATGTTTTCTTTGATAAGTGTGTGTACGTTTGCTGGTTTTCTCTGTGTTAGTTCTCGACGCTTTGGTGCATATGCATGTGAAGATAATGTTTCATTCTGTTGTTGACCGTCAGATTGATAGTGACTTCCTCTCTCACCAAATCGAAATAATGCTCTGTCATCAAAGTGACTACTGTATCTTGATTCGTTGGTTATCTCAGCTGTCCGTGGTTTTAAAGAAACGTTCATGTCTTCGCCAGACTCACATGCTTGATTCTGTGACTCGGCAAGTTTAGTTTGTTCATTCTTGTTTGACAATTCTTCGGTTATCAAATCTAAATTTCTAGTATTTGTTTTAGTTCGTTGTAGAAAACCGTTTCCATGTTCTCCTGTTGTGCGGTATATATCAAAACGGTTAGCTTTAACGACATTTTCGTCAGTGTTCCCCTCAAGTTGTGATCGCTGAATTGTTTTGATATCTTTGGTGTGTACATAGCTTGGTTTTTCGCTCGATTCATAGACATGGATTCTGTCAGCGACCTTTGTTGAAGTTTTAAGTTCCAGATTATCATCATTATCACTCAGTGTATTCCCATGGGGTATCCCTTCGGCTGCCTTGTGGCGGCTTGGACCTAAATCCATTGGTTCAAGAAAATGAGGAAATAATGAAGACCTGGTATGCTTTGGTACCCTTACTGACTGTGATCTCTTCAATGTGCTAGTTGGTCGAGATTTCGCTGAGACAGACTTTTCCTGTACGTCACTAAATGTGTTTATCTTTGCCGTTACTTCTTCTCCGTGTTTAACGTTACCATGTTGCTGGGCTGGATACACAATTTGCCCCAAATGGTTTTCCTCTTCTGCGCTAAATATGTTCATCTTAGCTGCTACGTGTTGCTGTTGTTCCTTTTGTTCAGTGCCATCCCATCGCTGCACCCAATTATATTGGTCTTCTTCTTCCTCCAGGGAGAGCGTTTCGAGGTCATCCAAGCAAACATGTTCTGAATAATCATCTGAAGCATCTGGTGTATTCAAGTTGCTATTGTTTTCTGTTGCATATTCACTTTCATTCCATTCCGATTTTGAAGAAGAAAACTGGCTGTCGAACGTCTGTTCAGGCGGTGACAACTGTGCTACAACAGGCATCCGGGATGAAACAGCGTCTTTTTCCTCGTCATCACTAATATTCTTGTCGCTGTCCCTGCTTCTAAGCTTACAATTAACAGCTTCTGTTGCAAGAACAGATTGGAGCTTACGATCGTCTGACGACTGATCTTTCGTAACCCTTCGTAGCATCGTGTAGGATAAATACCCTCTCTATTTCTGTCTATGACAAGTATATTATGTGGGTATTTCTCCAGGAAAATTCGTTCGGTCACACATTTGCCATATCTGCAACAAAAGCATCCAAAATTGGCATGGCTCACTACTTTTTTACAGAGAGGAATTTACATTATTTCGATAAGCAAATGAATTGTCCCCTTGCATACATTAGTCAAACTTAAAAAAAGGGTTTGATTACAAAAACGCCCTAAGAATACTTTAACGGCACATAATCAACAGAAAGTACATCATCCGCCATATTGATGAACAAACAGAATGAAGTTTATAATTAAATGTGTCGACCTTATTATAAGGATAATTGGCTACTCAGCAGGTCTTGTGAAAAAATTATAAATTATTCTGTGACAAGCTTTGGCTTTTCTGTGACAAGCAGACAAATTCGACCGTCGACATTCTTTCACGTAACGTGCGTCCCTCAATAGTAATATAAGATAGTATAAATCAGAAAAGTAGATATGGTTTAAAATTTCAATGTCTAATTAAATCCAAACGTTTGAGAATATTTCTAACAATCTATTTACCTATGGAATGTTTACAACACGGGAAAGACCATTTGATTCTACTAGATGTCACATTTAGTTTTCCCTAACCGAACATTATTGGACAGATGTCACTAAATCAGACAAAAAAATAACATATATCATACACGCATGGTTTTCTATATACCAAATATTTTTTTCCTTGTTTGCGTGTTTCCATTTTTTGTAGTCATTCTTTACAAACTAAAGAAAACGTAATTCAATATATGGAACGACAAGGAGGGGGCAGTTAAACAAATTATATAGCTTAACTATAAATAATACATACGCCATACATATCACCTTACATCACGTTTGACTTCTTCCAAAACTGAAGATAAAGTAATTCAATACATAGAACGATAAGGAGCAGGAAGTTAAACAAATGATATAAGCTTAACTACAAAAAAATGCATACGCCATACATATCAACTTGAACACGTTTATCGGTAACTGTGTTATGAGTTCGGTATACAGGTGAAATTTGACCTCATACAATTGTGAATTCCAAAATAGTTTTAAATGTATTTCTAAAAAAACTCTATCTTATCATTCGATTTATAGCCCTACTACAAAATAATACAAATGAGATAATTTATCATGTTTAACTTTAACTGTAATAAATATGTTACTAGTTCGGTAAACAGTTTGAATTGACTTCACAAAAATGGGAATTCCAAAATATTCTTTAGTGTATACCTATAATAACTTTACTTTGCGATTTTTAGCCCCGCTATAAAATAATATAAAAGACATATTCATCATCTAACCTCATGTTTAACTTTAACTGTAACCAATATGTTACTAATTCGGCAAACAGGTAAACCGACAATACATAATGACAATTTCTAAAAATGATTACTTATATTCCTGAAATAACTCTACTTTCACTTTCGGTTAATCACTGAATAAAAATAATACTGTTATAATAAAATTATCATTTATCATCTATATACTTTGTATACCACCTACTAGTAGCATGATAAACTCATTAGCATGGTTTGTCAGTATGAGAATATTCAAGAAGAAGTTGAGAACGACTTGAGAAGAACTTCAGATGAATTGGAGAACGAATTTATTTTTTCTACATAGTTTTTAGGTTCATTATATTCCTCCGCCCAAATCTATTTGTTTACGTTTGTCACAGACAGAGGATTTGCAATCGTTAACCATGGAACTGAGAAATCATTAATAAAGCATGGTGTCTAGTTTACTTTTGTAAATGAAGAAATATATTAGGTAGTAGTATATAGATTATAAACAGTTTATCATACAGTATTTTTAACTGTTTGTCGTTCGAACAATTTTCTCATCGCTTGCGCGTAGATAAAATCAGCAGGATCCTGTCCTTAGCTGAGTGAACACATATTTGACTACATTTTATACACTGTATACTGCGAATTTTATTTTATTTGTTAATCAACGGTGTTAAGCTTATTTTCTTTCTCTTTAAACGATATCAATAACAATTAACAGTATCAATAAAGGCCATAAGAAAGAAAATTCATGTTAATACAGTAACAAAGAAAACGTGCCTATTCCCCGGACAATATGAATTCACAATTTTTATCAACAACATCATCAAATAGATTGTCCTTACACGTGACAACATAACCTCATTTAACTTTATCCAGCTGCTCCTTAAGTCACTTACCACGATTTCCGCTGAGAAGGGTGTCGTTCAAAGTCCCGTCATGTCACTGTGTATGAACTCATCTCTTATCGGACATACCATATCGGCCCTTGTACTTTCGTTTTATATTAACTTGACTATTATAAATTATCAGAAAAGGTCGAAGTATTTCTGTACACATACGCAATGTGTCACATCAGGGAATTCCGCGAATGTCTATTTTAGTTTCGGTTTGATAGCAGATGACCCAGAGTGTCTGAGCTACATATATAGCTGAGCGTGTATTGTGTAATACCTATAATATACTGTCTACAGCGTTTACAGACCGTACAGATGTTACCAGCGACAGAAAAACACGTAAAGGGTGTTCGATATTAATGACACCCATACAGAAAACGAAAGTAGTGTTGATTCTGTATACCAGTATATTACCATATATACATATATTTTATATATATAATATGTCATAGTAAATGAACATTTCCTACTTTTCTTTTACAAAATAGATTCTTGACGATAACGAAAGTAACTACGATTCCGTATAAATTATCTATACATGTATACGTAGATGAATATATAATATATATATATATAATGTTATAATTCTAGAAGAGTTGCAACATTTCTATAACAAAATAGACTCCGGACGATAACGAATTTAGTTATGATGCCTTATAAATTATTTTTAAAGTATATGGGTATATATTAGAAATGTTTAGAAATATATGAGTATATCAAATATATGTAAAACATCGCAATCCAAGAAGAGGTGCTTCTTTTCTATCTCAAAATAGACTCTGCTTTATTCAGGCGTTCCCATTCAGCGTGCTTAAAGCGCTATGCTTTCGCTGAAGATCTTGAACCTAATTAATACTGGTTGCGGTCAACCAAAGTGATATACATGTTAAACGTCATTCGAAAACATTGTTCGAAACGTTTAACCTCCCGGATTTATGATGCGAGCTCAAAATACTAGCAATCTGCACTATAAAGGTTAAATTTGTTTTAAACACAAAATGGAATAATGCGAGCTTTTGAAAACGTCTGTTTCCTCTGTCAGTCCAAGAGTGTACGTGATAATCATCTCGACTCTAAACTAAGCCATAGTGGGCCGAATCAGGTAAAGTAAGCTGTCAAAAATATAAGAGACATTTCGCCCAACTGCACCTAATACTGCAGGCAGTCAGAGGGACGGGTAGCATGCTTACCCATCCCGAGTCTTAGTGGATGATGAATCTTATTCCAAATGATGCACTATAGTGTGGACTGAACCACGTCTCTAGAATATTGAATTAGTTGGTCAATTTTGATCAGTTGGATGTTTGATTCAAACTAATGGTAGCTACACTTGTAGTAAAACACAGCTTGAAAATTCTTAACAAAAAAACAGAGTCTGGGGTAATCAGAAATAATTATATGTAGAAATAGAAATAAAGATTCATTTTGTAAATTATTCTGGGTCTCAAAACATCGAAACTTTTCATTCGTTTTATCTTTTTCCGGTGTAATATCTATTTAGAAAATACATTGATTGAAAAAACAAATATGTGAACTTATGATTTCACTAAGCTCGCCATGATCATACAACATAGTTCATAAGCATAGAAATACACAAAGTACAGCAAATTTGTGATTTAAAAGACTCTACATTAACAGTTTTTACATCTGTACATGATGAATGCATCTATTTTTATATATATAAAAAAATGCATATACAACATTTGATATAGCACCCTATTTAGCTAGAATAAACCACTCTAAAGCGCTTTAAAATACATATATGCAATTAATAAAGTTAGCTTATACATAAATCAGGATATGATTTTGAGGAATTCACAGGAACTGCCTTATCAGGTGTTAACTACTAGCCCTATGCCACCTGGCTAATATCTCCCTGTGTGTGTGCTGGAAATGTATTGAGTTCTGTTTGTAGTGGCTTGTCTCAATAAAATAGTGAAGTAAATAGTGAAACCATTTATATAATTCGAAGGTTTGACAATAGTGTTAAGAAAAAAAACAGACGAAAAAAGGATTCCGAAAAAAAGTAAACAGCTTAAATCAGGAACCGAAACGGTAATATTTGACAGTGACAAGGAAAATATTCATCGTAGCATTGATGAATTTCTGGTTCACGAAGCATTTCGTTTGTAATAATAACTCAGAAACTGAGTACGTTGTGTAGCTGTTTATTTCAGTATGATATGAAACAATATATAAAAAAAGAATGTTGGATCATAATAACGTGGAAGTGGCTGATTTGTGAAAATGACTCAGTGTTACTATTTTTAGAATCAGCTGGTTAATGCTCTCTGACAAATGCAGCACTTTCCTCTGTACAATTTTCTGATGTTCCGTCGCGTTAAATGATTAAAACGTTATTAAGCATCGAATATAACATTTATGACTTTTTTTTGGGTTGAATATTTGGTCAAATGGACCTGATAATGTTTTCGTAAAACAACATCTTCACCTCAACAAACGTCGTTTATTGATGAATGAAATTCCCGAAATTGGTCTCCAAATACAGGTTAGATTCTACATCAATGGCGAGCAATGTCGAAGTTCAAAGTTGTAATTTGAAAAGCTTCCAATTATAATATACTCGGCATTCCTCCATGCTGTCTGCCATGTACTGTATTTAGTTTTGCTTTTGCTGTTTGTCGTTAACCTATTAGGAAATTATCCATTGGCACTGTAAACAATTTTGCGGTTGGATTGTTCGGTACGAAGTCTTCTTGGTTTTACGAATGGAAATTCCCACGTTGTGTATATGGATCCTATGATGTAATTTCCTTCTTCGCTTGATGACGTCACATAAGGTCATATAATTGTTGATGTCTGGGATAATCTCCCTCAAGCTCTCATTCTCGCAGAGTATTTGATTTAGAAAAAAACTGGTCTCGAAAGATCCTGAGTTGAACTTAGATCTCACAGCTTCTTATAAATAGACTGAATATATGCTTACCATAATATATTTCACATTATGTTGATGTGGATATACAGGCATCGATGCCAGGGTTCACTAATATCCTATTAAATCCTATCAAATAGTTCATGAGTTCAACCAGTCATCATTAGACCCTGGCTGTCGCGAGAAAATTAAACTCCAAATAAACAAGCAAAATAAAAAGCAAACAAATCATGAGTTCTCAGGCGAAAATGACACGAATATAACTTCTAAATATCACTGTACATTGTAATTGTGTGATTAGCATATATAATAAAGTCATATGATACTAAATGGATATTTCTATAACTTGTTGCAAAGTTCGATTTACTCACGATTTGTAATTTATTACTTATCGACAGATAGAAACATTATGAAGGATAACATATATCACATAGTAATATTTGTATTCCTCCTGTTATGAAACACTTACCGCTCTCTTCACTCTCTTCAGTTGTTTTAACCAAACTTGTCTCTAAAGGAAAAAAGAATAAGAAAAATAAAAAGGACGGTAAAATAGTGTTGATACGATAAAAATATGATCATATAAGATACCAATCGAATTAAAATAACAATGTTTAGCTGTAAGCAAATAATCTATAATTCTAGGATAATAGGACAATGTTACTTTCGATGATGCTTTAGTTCGTCAATATTAAAACAAAATGACATGCTCAGTAAAGCGTCCCTATCAACCGACACATACTTGTATAAATATGTAAAACTGACGTTTATTTAAGCAGTATTGGGAATATTTCAGCAATCCAAAACAACAGAGGAGGAAATATAATATAAAACATTTATTGAAATATTAAACTGGCAATTACAGAAATAGCCTCAACGTAAGTTTTCCATTAAGGGCCATTGTTGTAAAACCCCGACCGCCAGTCAATATGTAGGAGTAGTAGTCTTACTTGGAAACCATTACAGACTTTACAAGGGTCATAGAAGTTATCAATGTGTGTCCTACTTGTGTGTACAGGTTTATTTGGCCCATATACTTAACAGAGCTATAGCATTTAAACATAAAGACTAGTCAGCTTAACGCCGAATTTTCAAACGTTTGTGCCAGCAGATCTAGCTAAATAAGATATCACGCATGCCTGTTAGGTTTTTTGCTAATGAAACCTAGGACAGTTGTACAGCTTTACATATTATCAACTTCTAAAAATGTAACGATATTTGAAATATAAGTTTGACCCTATAAACACTAGCGAACTAAAATGTATGTGATGTTACCGGGAGTACATGTTGGCTCTTTAAACAGCCTTGTAAAGAGGTGCAAACTAGATTATACAGTACAGCAAAACAACAGGTAATACAATCATGCGTATACCATTATTTATAAATATAGACTCCATTTAAAGAAATAAAACTAAAACGTTTCTGTATGTTATGGTTGAAAACTATAAATCAATACTCTATATACAAAACACATACTCATTCATGTATGAATGAAATCACCTGTATGAAAATGTATAAATGGTATTCATCATTGTGACAAAGTATTGGTTAAATGCAGTGGATGCCCCCTCCCCCNTAGAAAAGACAAGCAAACAAATATAGATAAATAAATAATTATTAATAAATAAATAAATTAATTAATGAGGAGCGTTCACCGTAACAAGCTACACTAGTGATCTATCGATTAGATCAATTTCTGTATTAAACATTCATATATAAATATCAAATGTGTCAACATGATAAAGTTAAGAAACTGTATTTACCTTCTGTATGGATGACTTCCTCATCACGAGTGTGTCTCGTTGGGACATTCCCACGTCTACTTTCACTTTCATCTGGGATGAAAATGACAATGATCAGAATGACGATAATAAGTATTTCATAAAACATTTGGACCACTTAATTCCACATCCGTTTGTTATTCAGTGTAAACCGAAAGTGAAAGTAGAAATTCCAGTCGATTATGTTTGAACTTTGATGCTTTGATCAATGTAGATATGAGTTCAATCTACATAGACGTAGTATGTGATAACGTGTACATCTACTAAATTTGATGCTCGTATAAAATACTTCGTATATATACCTATTTGCGTATCTATTGAATTTTTTATGGTGAGAAGGGGAGGGGGCATTTATACCGATAGGCCCTCTAATTCTCCCTATACAAACATCGGTATAGGTTAAAACATACATGCACCCTACTGTAATTTATTCACAATTCCTATGAATTCGTAAAATATCAGATATCTATATATATATTCCAGTCGAATATGTTTTACCTTTGATGCTTGGATCAATGTCGATGGAGAGGGGGGTGTGTGTATTTGTACCGAATGGCCCTCTCATTCTCCATATACAAACATCGGTATAGATTAAAACATACATACACCTTACTGTAATTGATTCATAGTTCCTACGTATTCGTAAAATATCATATATAAAACTGAAGGTAGAGGAAGATATTTAAGTACTACGAATTTATTTCGTAAGGCCTGAAAAAAGGCTTAATGAACAAAAACAATATATCTCTGATCCATTTCTACATTGTATTGTTACTGTTTGTATTTAGTTAATTGCTTCATAACTAATAATGTAATTACCACAAGACAGTACATCATTAAATGTTTTGTTTAGAGTAGTGTTGAATAGGGTTTTCCCTTGAAATGCATGCTTCAGTAAGCACGAAGTTTGAAATGTGTATACAAAACGTGAGCAGTACTCTGTATTATTTAAGCTATATATAATCAACCATCATCAATGACGTGAACACTTTACATCTAACCACCATTTTATCGCTATGGGTTTTTTCTGTTCTACTTTCGTTACCTTGAACATCGCCGGTTATATTTCCTTCCGTTGATGTTCCAGGATTTGCTTGTTTGTTAGGATTTTCGTTTGAAAATAAATTACAGAATAACAGCGTTACTACCACCATAAACATTAATAGTTCAAGCAACATCTCCTTTCAATGAACATGTTAAGTGATCCCAAATCGAAAGAGAAAATGCAAGTGGGAAATCCAGTGTATAAGGCTACAACTACTGTACATGTTCACTCTATAGGGTTCTACCTGAGCGAGTAACTATTATGTCAACTCAATCAAATATACATATGTATGTTGTACTGTTTTCTATATAAATAGAAATACAATTTTACTGACCAATTATCGAATATGATACACACATATCCTAGTCTGTGCTATCTGAACCGTTACCGGATTGATTTTCTATTTTTCTTCTTATTTTTCTTCCATTTGTAAAGGACTCCATTGGAAATAAGCAACTTTGTGGCTTTTATGGGTAATCCTAGGTAAATGGCACTCACAACCACTCCTATTATTCGACCTATTTATATCTACCTTCATTTACTAAAAATAGTCTGTCTCATTTTATAGTAATATCTGCCTTTTTTACAGTGATATCAGACTTTTTTGTTTTTATACTCTGTGATATATGTCAAGGATTGAATTAAGAAACCTTTTATTAAGATAGATCTACTATTATTCTTAGTCTTAATACAAAATACTCTTTTGTAATTACAAGCTGCATTGTGATCTTAAATATATGTTTTATTCTAAACTGTCATATCTTGTAATAACATGCCTATTTTACCCGAATTTTTTTTTTATTATTATTATAGGGTTCTACCTGAGCGAGTAACTATTATGTCAAATCGATCAATAATACAGTACATATGTATGTGGGAAATCCAGTGTATAAGCCTACAACTACTGTACATGTTCAATCTATAGGGTTCTACCTGAGCGAGTAACTGTTATGTCAAATCGATCAATAATACAGTACATATGTAAGTGGGACCTACAATCGGGCTTGTGAATCTTAAGTGAAATAGAAAAAACATAATCCAAGGGTCCCTGTCGCTTCTAAACACTGTTTCACTAACGAATCAAATCCGTATTGCAATATTAATGCTTACCCCTATCACAGTATTTTTTAATTCCTTATATCTTTTTTAACACAATAAAAGGAATTTCAATAACATTTGCGTACCTGGAATATTATTAAAGACACTGTTAATACAACCTGTTTACGTACACATTTATATAAAGAGGAGCGGCGTTTGTTCAATATACTGATTCGTAATCAGGTACGTTATTTTTAAAATATATCATCTAAGTGTCAACAATCGCTTTACGTGGTTTACATGTACAGCAAAACCTCGTTATACTGTCGCCACTTGTTAAGTGAAAGTATGGCGTTATAACAGGTTTGGACATAAATTAAGTATTAATGAATACTTTCAAAAAAGAGAGAAAAAAGGGACATTTATATATATGTTGGCGGTGAGCGAGGTGGGAAATGAAACGAGGGGCGTTATATAGAGGTATTACTGTATATGATAATCGCACATTATGAGTATAGGGATTTTTCTCATAAAACGTTAAAATCATATATGTTTCACCAAATGTTCTCCAAAATACACAGAATCCTCTTACCACTAAACAATAATGCCTCCGTACTAGATTAATTGCACCATGTAGCATGTGTACATCAAAACCTCGTTATACTGCCAGCATTTGTCCAGACAAAGTTTGGCGTTATAAAGGCGTTTGACGATAAATTGAGGGAAATGTAGTAAGGGATTCTTACGAAAATGAGAAAAAAACGTATTGAAATATGCTGAAATATAACGGGGAAGCAAATAAAACGAGGGGCGTTTTATCGAGGTGTACTTTATCTATATATTATTATTCAGTAATACCTCGTCTTTGCCTTGTTTCTACTGTCACTATCTGTCTATACCCGGCTCCATTGTCTGTATCATTAGATTCCCTCCTGACTCGCCTACGTCTCACAGTCTGGAAATGGCTGAAGAGGAGGAAAGAGAAAGTATTAATATTTGGTCAAATAGAAATGATACGTCTTTATGAATTAATAAAAAATGCACGGTGTCTGTCCTTTTTATTAGCAAAAGAAAGTTAGATATGAATGGTCACAGTCATTGTATTTATCATGCAAGAGGTCACAAAACAAGAACGCGTGAATATTTATTCTTAAACAAAATTCCTAGAAATGGAAAGTGAAAGCTGAATGATTGATTTTTGGAAAACATAATCGAAATCAATGACCCTATACAAGTGTAGTCAACTTGTTCTAAAAGATTATTTATTCAAAACCTACCTACGTTTCATGACTGAACAGACACACTATATATAACAGAAGTATACAATTGGAGTGTACTGTATACACTACAGTGCGATAAGATTAAATATAACACAATGTGACTCACCGTCAGTCTGGAGACCTAAAAGGCAAAATCGTTACAAAAACACTCAATATTACGGTGAATTATCCTTACTATCAACCCATGGTAACACCAGACCATTATGATGTCTTATCATGACGTCCTGTCCAGAAATGCGTGTTAGTTACCATCAATCTACGATGTTGTAACTATTTGAAATTATCTAAAAGAATTACCTTCTTTCCTGTTTAATCTTTCCTTCTTCTGATCGACTAGTTCTTCTCCCTCCTTCCTCTCTTCCTCCCTCTCCATCTCCAGGCCCTTCTCCTTCATGCCCTCCCCCTCCAGGCCCTCCCCCTCCAGGCCCTTCCCCTCCAGGCCCTCCCCCTCCAGACCGTCCCCCTCCAAACCCTCCCCCTCCAG